AGTTGACAGTAGGACATCAAATATAAAAGTATAAATAGATAGCCAATGCCAATGACGTTTGATCCTAGAAAGGTCAAGGTCAACAAAGGTCAAGGTCAAAAATTGAAAATTTTGAATTTCCAAAACCTGTTCCTTTTTTTGATCTATGAAGCGGAAACAACCGAACTTCTAAGACAAAGTGACTCAAAACATGAGATAATTGTATGCAAAGTTCCATTTTGAACAAACGTATACTTTGCGAGTTATGTTCCTGGCCAAAAATGTCAATAATGAGTAATATAACCCAGATGTGCCACGCCCACCTTAATTTTTTTTGCATAGGGTAATAGATATTCCAAATGTTATGTTGTGTTTTAAATTTCAAGCTTCTACATTATTCAGGTCAAAAGATATAGGTCAACAAATGTCAATAAAGGTCAAAATCGAAAAATGAAAATATCCAAATGTTAAAACCCGTTCCTTTTTTGGAACTATAAAGCTGAAACAACTGAGCTGTTAACATAAACTGGCCAAAAGGATGAGGTAATTGTGTGCAAGTACCTTTTTGAACAAACGTATCCTATGCGAGTTATGCCCCAGCCGCAAAATGTAAACAATTAGTAATTCAACCCGGATGTGCCACTCCCACCCCAATTTTTTTGTCATAGGTGAATTCATATTCAAAGTGTCTAGTTGTATTCCAAATATCAAGGTTCTACATAGAATAGGTCATAAGATATACATACACCAAGATCAAAAAGACACAAATATGGTAAAACTAAACTCAAATTTGAAAAAATCACAAATTTCAATATTGCTTTAAAAAAGCAATTGTTCTATATCTATGTAAAGTGCATGAGAAGCACATTAGAAAACCGAAAAATTAACCCTCTAGGTTAATTAGGTCACGTGCTAGAGCAGTCGAAAGTTGCGAATTTGGCTTTTTACGGATAGCTATAAAACCGGAAGTACATGTCAGAGGTCAAAGGTCAAAGTATCAAATGATAGCCAAGGTCAATGACCTTTGACCCTATGAAGGTCAAGGTCATCAAAGGTCAAGGTCACGAGATACAAGCCTTCAAAAATTGAAAAAAATTCGACCGGAAGTTGCAAAAAAGCAAAAGTCAAATTCAAAAATCCATTCGCAACATTTTTGTCGCCACCAACTAAGGTATACACCAACATAAAAATTTGACCAATCCCATTCTCCCCCGAAGCCCCATTTTGAGTTTTATGAAAAAGTATCAAATCAAGATGGCGGACTAAATTTTATTTTAAAATCAGCCATAGAATTATGATTATTAACGATATACATAATTTCGTTGAAATATTTCAATCACACCGGAAGTTATTCAACCGGAAGTGAAAATCGATTTTCCACTTTAACCGGAAGTGACGCAAAAATTTTGAATACGTCAAATGGTTTACATTAGTGACATGCATCTTTTATCAAAATTTCAGATTAATCTGAAAAAAACTGAAAAATGGTCAAAAAATTTCGAAAATCGGCCAAAAAATGTATGCTACGAATTTTCGAAATTTGAAATTTTTTAACTCATATCACATCGGAATTTAGTCACAGATTCCAAAAATGAAGACCCGAGCAAAATCGGCCCAAAAATGTGGCTTCCAGGGTCAAAAAACCCGTTTTTGATCAGGTTGCAATGTGCAATTTGCTTTCTTGCAAAAATGTTCCAATTTATATTTAAAAAGTAGGTCGCCATGATGCGACGTCAGAACATATTTCAGAAATGTTGCAACTAGCATAGTTTAGGCTGTGTGCCCTGTGAAAATCGAAAAAAAAAACAAACTAGAACCGTTATAACGGTACCGAAGCAGTGCGCATCCAACCTGATACATCGATAAAACGTTGCATTTTAAAGTCACAATGGGATTTCTTACCGGAAAGAAAAGCATGTAAACGTTCAATAGTAGAAAAAATCGTTTAAACCGTTTACCGTTTGGTAGTGAAAAGACGCATGAATTTGATACCATTCGGTACTAAAAGGTGTTAACATTCGGTAGTAAAAAGTCGAATTTTCAAATAGCTGTAAAATTAAAAGTTCAATTCGCACAACAAAAATGAAAATATTTTTGGAAAGGTACAATAATTTGTGTTTCGGCCAAGAGGTCAACAGAGGTCAAATAAAAGAGAATATACGCCTTAAAAGTGTTGAAAATTGCTGTTTTGGGACGTTTGTAAAAGCGAAAATATATGTCGGACATCAAAGATAAAAGTATGAATGGACATCGTAGATCAATAACCTTTGACCTGGTGAAAAATGCAAACTTTTTGAGTTATAACAATTTGAATTATTTATGGTAAAGGTAAAAGTAACCCGGATTTGCCACGCCCACTGCAAAAATTTTGTGTTGTCTGTAATAATGTGTACAATGTCAAATAATGTTCAAAATTTCAAGTGTTTACAATCATTAGATCATGAGATATTTGTAATTAAAAGTTTTTTTAAGGCAACGGTGACTGTCGCTGGATTATAGAAACCGTTAAAATTACGCAAAGTTACTATAGAAGTCAATACAAAATTTTCAAATTCTAAAAAGCGCAATTTTAATCAAAATACCAAGTGTTATATATCATTTGAAAGAATAGATTGGGTGTAATAAGGACAAAAGATAAATTTTCGCTTATGTAAATTAGGTCACGTGATAGACCTTTTTTTTAAGTTAAAAATCGCGATTTTCAATTGGCTGTAGAACCGGATGTTAACGAAGCAGGACAAAAGTGAAAATATTATCGGATATATCTCGTAATGGGCAACTACCTTTGTTCAGGTCAAAAGGTCAACAAAGGTTAAATAAAAGTAATATAAGCCTTTGAAGTTTCGAAAATTTGACCATGCAAAGGTCAAGGTCATTTACGTTAAAGTTCAAAAATAAAAATTTTTAAAATTGTTAAACCTGTTCCCTTTTTTAAAGTGAAAAACGCAAACAACTGTAATCTTATCACAAATTGTCCTCAGCAGTGATCTACTTTCATGCAAAATTTCTAGGATGACAATTGCAAACTTTGCGAGTTATGACAATTGCAAATATTTCAGGTAAAGGTAAATGCCCACCGGATGTGCCACGCCCACTTCAAAAATTTTAATTTGTCTGTGATGATGTCTACATTGTTAAATAATGTTCAAAATTTCAAGTCTTTACAATAATTAGATCACGAGATATTCGTAGTTAAACTTTTTTTAGGGCAACGGTGACTGTCGGTAAATTATAGACACCGTGATTTTACGCACAGTTACTATAGAAGTCAGTACAAAATTTTCAATTTTAAAACGCGCAATTTTGATCAAAATATCAAGTGTGATATATCGCCAAAAAGGAGATTGTATGCACTCTAAGAATATATAAGAAATTTTGTTATATGTTAATTAGGTCACGTGACAGAGCTCTTCAAAGTTAAAAATCGCGATTTTCAAATTGCTGTAGAACCGGAAGTTAACAATGCACAACAAAAGTGAAGATATTATCGGATATATCTCGTATGGGGCAACAACTTTTGTTCAGGTCAAAAGGTCAACAAATGTCAAATAAAAGTAATATGAGCCTTTGAAGTTTCGAAAATTGCTGTTTTCGGACGTCTGCAAAACCGGAAGTATATATCGGACATCAAAGATCAAAGTAAGAATGGTCATCCTTAGTCAATGACCTTTGACCATGCAAAGGTCAAGGTCATTCATGTTAAAGATCAAAAATGAAAATTTATAAAATTGTTAAACCTATTCCCTTTTTTAAAGTAAAGAATGCAAACAACTGTAATCTTATCACAAATTGTCCTAAGCAGTGATCTATTTTCAAGCAAAATTTCTAGGGTGACAATTGAAAACTATGAGAGTTATAACAATTGCAAATATTTCAGGTAAAGGTAAATGCACACCGGATGTGCCTTTTACGCACAGTTACTATAGAAGTCAGTACAAAATTTTCGATTTTTAAAACGCGCAATTTTAATCAAAATATCAAGTGTGATATATCACCAAAAAGGATATTTTATGCACTCAAAGAATATATAATAATTTTTGTCGTATGTTAATTAGGTCACGTGACAGAGCTCTTCAAAGTTAAAAATCGTGATTTTCCAATGGCTGTAGAACCGGAAGTTAACGATGCACAACAAAAGTGAGGATATCATCGGATATATCTCGTCAGGGGCAACAACTTTTGTTCAGGTCACAAGGTCACCAAAGGTCAAAGTCACTAGATATGAGCCTTAATATTTTTGACAATTATTGAAAACATAAAACCGGAAATAAAAAAAATACGAATCCAAAATTCAAAAATCGGCTTCCTAAGTTTTGTTAGCAATCGATTGCAGATTCTTTAGACACCAAAATCACACAAATCAGATTTACCCCTGAAGCTTAATATCGATTTTTACAAAAATTGGTCACATCAAGATGGCATCTAACACGTTACTTCCGGTTCAAATTTTTTCATTCCAAAATTGTTATAGGGACAATTTTAACTAATTTCAAAAAGAATTTTTCAAATACCTACAAAATTCCGGAAGTTGAAATTTCAAGTTTAGAGGCGAATGACGTCAAAACCGGAAGTGATATCGAAATTTTGAAAATAGATTTTTGTCAGGAATCAAAATGCTTATCTACCATTAAATTTTTAGACCGATTGAAATAAAATTGTACAAGTTGAAAAAACGCTAAAATTAAAACAAAAAAAGTCAGCGACAAAAGTCAAAATCTGAAATTTTATAAAGTGCTATCTTTTAGTCATTGTTTTAAAGTAATGAACAAAACAAAAGTTACGGTCAAAATAGATGCAGAATTAGAGCAGTAATTCGAAATACGTAATGAATGGTTAACGTCATACGTCATTTCCGGTTGGAAGAAAAAGCGTCATTTTACATTTAAACAGTAGCGACACGCAAAGTATAAGAAATAATAGTGTCGAAGAACGCACTGCAAAAAGAATAGACATTTCGATAACAAACTGGGACTTTGCTTTCAGCAAATAAATAACAATAAATGGTTAAAAAATCTGGTAACATGAATAAAAACAACAAGAAATCTTCGAGGAAAAGGCCAGCTTATAAATCGTCAAATGAGTCAAGCAAGTCAAAGTGCAAGTGCAATCACAACATTATTGATGTCAATGATGAAGGCGAAGGTTATTTGATTGCTGATCAAGTGGAGCCTGTTTTTGTGGATAGATCTGACGGTGTTAATCAAGGTGAGAACATAACTTCACCTCTTAATTTCCCTCAGTTGACTCCTATAAGGTCCCACCAGGAGCGCCTGGGGAATGAAATTTCTCAGGCAAATAGAGATAGAATAATAAATGGCCAATACCTTGATTTGTCAATATTTTTGGAGAACAAGGTCTCAGATGATGAAAAAGATGAGAAAAGACTATCTATTATAAACGGAGAATTGTCCGTAGTTCAAAAACAAAAGAAAAAAATCAATGATGTAGAAAAGTGGACCGATACGAAGTTAGCATACATGTCAGTTTACATTTCTACACATCCTAATGAAGCTCAAGATCTTTTAAAGTACATCAGCAATATCAGACTCGGGCCTTCTCGTATTTCAGGTTTAGGTTGGAAAAAATATGACGAACAATTTCGTTTGAAACGTGCTTTTAATTTGGACATGTCGTGGTCAGACGTGGACTCAGAGTTATGGTTGTTGTATATGTATAGTCCTAATCAATATTCATTGAGCCGTAGCGTCAATAATTCTAACGCAGTTAATATTAGACAGGGGGGTCAAAATATTTCGGGTTTTGGTAAGTGCTTTGATTTTAATTACAAAGGAATTTGTTCAAGGGCAGTTTGTAATTTCCTACATCTTTGTACCCGTTGCAATGGTTCACATGCTTAGGTTAATTGTTTGGCGCATTTGATAAATGTCTGCCAATGGGTTGCTCAAGTTCATTTCGAACTATTTTACAATGGAAGTCTGGTTGTGACACTACAGCCCATTATTTAGATGATTTTTTATTTGCTGGTAGAGAGGGTACAGGTGAGTGTAGGCATTTGATGACAGTATTTGAGTCATTGTGCTTGGATTTAGGAATACCTTTAGCTTCCGACAAAACAGTTGGTCCATCTCAGACGTTAGTTTTTCTAGGTTTGGAAATTGACACAGTTCAGCAATTAGTAAGAATTCCGTTTGACAAAATTGATAATCTGATCAATTCCATAGAATCAATTTTTTACTTAAAGAAAATTACTTTAAGGAAGCTACAATCTTTGGTGGGCTCATTAAATTTCTGTACAAGGGTGATGTCATCAGCTAGGGCTTTTAATCATAGGTTTTATGATGCAATGATTGGTATAAATAAGCCCCACTACCACATGCGTTTAAATGATGGAATTAAAGAAGATTTACATATGGTTGACTTTAGTTTTGAATTGAGTTGAGAATTGAGTTAATTCTAGTTAATACATGATCACCTTTTTCAGGGCATAGTAAATGCTCATTTATATGCTCAAGATGAACAGTTGATGTAATGTTTTTTTTTTAAAAGATAACATCAATTAAACATATAGAAATTTTTAAACTTTTAAACCTCAGTTGATTGATTATATGGTATTGTAGTTAAAATGGAGCTACCAAATTAGAGAAAAAAAGTAAAAAATAAATCTGAGCTGAGTATCTCAACTTTATTATGGTAGACTGGTATTTTACTATACAATTAATCCATTAGGTCCATTTAGGATTTTGTTAGTTGCCGAGAGTAAAACGTCATTTGACAAAAATGTTTTGTTAAGAAGCGACGTATACTGTAGTAAGGAGGAACTGATCATTCATTTGAGGTTTTAAAAAACTGACCAATTTGGTAAAGGTCAAACACTTTGTACAGGGAAAGGTAGACAGAATTTTTGTCCAGTTATTGCAGTTAAAAATTATTTAGCTTTTCGATCAGCAGTTGATGGACCATTCTTTTGTCATTTTGGGGGTTGCCCATTGACACGTTATCAATTCTCGGCAATGTTGGAAATGGCAATCAATCAAATCGGTCTTGATAAGAATCGCTTTAAGTCACACTCTTTTAGAATTGGGGCTGCCACCTGTGCAGTTTTATCTGGGTTTTCAGAGGAAGAGGTGTTGAAATTTGGGAGGTGGAAATCGAAGGCTATAAACAGTTATATCAGAATACCGTCTAGCAAGTTTATGTAATTTTTCCATATTTTGTTTTACAGAAAATCTCAGAGTATGGATTGTAGGTTCTTCTTTAGTCAAAAAGGCATTTCCAGCAGCACATGCTACAGGAAGCAATCTGGGCTTAGATCACTTCGGTTGTTCAATTTGGTGGCAAGGAAAATCAGGTTTAAGATTAATTGATATGGTTCCACATTTGAAAACACTGTCAAAGTTTGAAAATCCTCCAGCTTATCTAATTATTCACTGTTGTGGAAATGATATTGGTACAGTTCCTTGCAAGTGGTTGCGGGATAGAATTGATGAGACGTTGGATGATATTAAAATTCATTTCCCAAATACCATTTTGATTTGGTCGCAGATTCTACCAAGAAAGGTTTGGAGATCGGACCTCATGGGTGAATCCTCGAAAACACTCAAAAAGTTGCATGTTAGGATCAATTCTTATGCAGCAACAAAAATTTTGCAAGAAGGGGGAAGATATATTAAACAACCGGAATAAATCCTGGAAAAACCAGAAAATTTTTCGTATGATGGCGTACATTTGTCAGCAAATGGGAATGAACAATTTTTAAAACAATTTAGGAATGCCATTTTCGAGTTTAAAATGAGCAACCATGTTAAAGTTTATTTGGGGGTTCAAAATATTTAAAGTTTGCAATGCTAACTATATTTGTTATTGTTGTTGAACTTTGAATTTTGCTGTTGTAAATGGAATATATATATACCGGTACAAAAAAAAAAAAAATAAATTGCTGTTGTTGACTATATTTGTTTTTATATACTTTTTAAGTATGCTCCACCATATTGTTGGCGGTGAACGTTTTGATGAACGTTCTTGTGGCGTTTAACGCATACTTAAATGCTTTGAATGAACACTATTTATAAATTTTGATGGACCTAGCCTATGATTTACATTGGTTTTAATTAAATATGTCGAAAGTTTGTTTCACAGGATTCGACATTTCTTATTTATTTTGGATACTTTAACTTATTATCTTGTTGTTCGGAATTGCCCTAATAGTTGAAGGGTGTTAAATTTTCAATGAGCCGTGGCCAAACCCGCCAGTACTATTAATAAAATAATAATTAGAATTTTTTGTTTTGTTATTGTCTTCAGTCTGTAATAATATAATTTATTTCATTTAGTAAATAAATTGGGTTATCTCAGTGGAATACAATTCTAGTCGGTTTGACCCGAACAGGCGGCAGAATGTTTTATGAAATTTTATTAAATTAATCTGTTGACTTTAATTGAGAGCATGGTAGCTTTAACGTAACCAACTTACGCTCTTCCATGCTTACGTAATGATCACTTAGTAACCCGAAAATGGGTTTGACGTCATTTTATTCATCAGTATCTAAGCATTTTCAAACATCTTCGGGTTGTAGTGGATAAAGTTACGGTTAGATAAAAGAGTAACGGCAATAAAATAATATAATAATAAAAAACCCACCAACCTCCCACTTCAGTATTTCTGCCGATTTCTTTCTTTTTGTTATTTCAGAATAATTTGGTTCTGTTCGAAATAAATCATCACATTGTTGGAAGCCTTCTAACAGTTGAAGACATGACGGTGGATTTTATTGGTGGATAATGAGCCCACCAAAGATTGTAGCTTCCTCAAAGTAATTTTCTTTAAGTATAAAATTGATTCTATGGAATTGATCAGATTATCAATTTTGTCAAACGGAATTCTTACTAAATGCTGAACTGTGTCAATTTCCAAACCTAGAAAAACTAACGTCTGAGATGGACCAACTGTTTTGTCGGAAGCTAAAGGTATTCCTAAATCCAAGCACAATGACTCAAATAATTAAATGCCTACACTCACCCGTACCCTCTCTACCAGCAAATAAAAAATCATCTAAATAATGGGCTGTAGTGTCACAACCAGACTTCCATTGTAAAATGTACAAATCAAAGAGTAACAGCAATAAAATAATATAATAATAAAATTTCTGCCGATTTCTTTCTTTTTGTTATTTCAGAATAATTTGGTTCTGTTCGAAATAAATCATCACATTGTTGGAAGCGTTCTAACAGTTGAAGACATGACGGTGGATTTTATTGGTGGATTAGAGTATTATTATCCTGGAAGTGAATAGCTCGTGTTCGAGTCTTTTCGTTCCTGTCAAGGCTGAATTATTAGCGTTTAACGCATACTTAAATGCTTTGAATGAACAATATTTATAAATTTTGATGGACCTAGCCTATGATTTACATTGTTTTTAATTAAATATGTCGAATGTTTGTTTCACAGGATTCGACATTTCTTATTTATTTTGGATACTTGAACTTATTATCTTGTTGTTCGGAATTGCCCTAATAGTTGAAGGGTGTTAAATTTTCAATGAGCCGTGGCCAAACCCGCCAGTACTATTAATAAAATAATAATTAGAATTTTTTGTTTTGTTATTGTCTTCAGTCTGTGATAAACAAAATTTATCGAAAATATTAAAATAAAATCCATAATCCACAAGATAATTATTTTACAAAGGGTGAAAAGGATTATGTAACGAGTCAACTAGTCAATAATTGCAGGTGTTAACTATGGGACCATAAACTTAAAACAGTACAACAACAGCTGTCAATCAAAACAGTGTACTAAAATCTTTATCAGAAAAGGGCTGGCTATGGGCGTGGTCATTGAAAATCAGTTGTAATTGTTCTCAGAGTACCCAGCAAAAACTGTAATACTTAAAACTTTTTTGGCATTGGGTCAGACATTCCAAACCGCGGAATTACCTTTTAAATATATTTGTTGATACAGGAATCTTTCTACTGTCAATAAAGTGGATGGACATTGAATTGTCAAGTGCTAAATCTTGCATTAATAAGTACAAAAATATCTATATTAAATCCTTAAATAGAACTTATTAGAAATTATACATATAACGTATAATAGCTCGGAAGTACCTTTTAAATATATTTCCAGACATCGGATTCCGACCGGAAGCGGTGTAGCGGAAAAAAAAAAATTTTTGTGTGCCATCTGCGGTTTCAGAAATTTGAAATTCGAAAATTTTATCCATAAGTTTTGGTACCGAATTTTGGTCAAAATTCACACTTCTTTAATTTTTTTCGATTTTCACAAAAATTGGGAGGTGGGTAGAACACAAATTATCGATTAAGATTCTCAAAAAAAAATTTCGGAAATTTCCCCAAAACATTTGAAAATTACCAAAAAAAAAACCCATTAAGCCGCCATCTTAAAAAAAGCAAAATATCAGAAAAATACTTCTTGTCTGCCATTTTTAGTCCGTTTTTTTTCAAACTTGTTTTAAATTGTGATTTTGAAAAATATCTAAGTCCTCTAGAAGCCCTTTTTTGGAATTTTGAATTTTTCTTTGCACAACCTCCATTCAATGTTTTTTGTGATAGGCTTTGAATATCAAGGCTGATAACTTTTGACCTTGACCTTCTAGTCGGGGCTGTTATGATTTTAAATGTTTGGTATCATAGGATAGATATTTTAATGAATCATCAAAATAAAATGTTTTCAAGGTGATATTATGAAATGAACAAATCTGTTATGACGTCACCCACATTTTCCACATATTTTGTCTATTTATCAACATTAAGAGACAAAAACACAGAGATTTAATAATTACTGCTTTGGGTTTTTTAATTTGTAGACTCCAACTAGATGTATGCTAATACTTTCAGGTTTGCATAAGTATTCATGAAGTCATTCTGTTGTCATTTTCTGTATTAATGATTTTCGAAGGATGGTGGTCTTGGTAACTTATCCCTAATAGGACCCAATTATTGTTCATGCAGGACAGAAGGGTTGATAAGGATGCAAATTTCGTACATAGGCTGAAGAATCCTCGAAGTTTGGGATTTTAAAAAAAGAGTTTCACAAGCGGAAATATCTGAGATAAATTGAGTTTAAATTTTTATAAACCATGGTATTTGTACAAGTACATACATACTCATACTTACAAAATTAAATTTCATCGTCAGAATCACAAGTTGCTGGTTTTGGGTCAGTGTTTTCACAGCTTTTGCATTGACAAAGATCAGTGCACTCCAAATTCTGCTTAGCACAAGAACACCCTTTTGTTGAACAACCAGATGAAGAGCAATTGCACTTAACAAGTTCAATAATTTGATTAGGAGCAATGTCTCCATTAAATGTTAATGGTTGGTAACAATCAACTCGCACATTAATGGGTCTAACACACGCGGTTCGTGGTTCACTGCGTTTCACCAGATAAATGTTTGATGGTGTGCTCTTAAAAGATACGGGATTAGGGAACCTTTAGTTGGTGGAATTTTCTCACAATGATCAGGATGCATGCAAAAACTCTTCCACCTTGCCTCTTCTAAAGACTGACTTCCTGGACAGTAACAATTAGCAACAAATATTGAGAGGCTATCAACAATGTAGTCGTCAAGAGTTTCAAATTCTCCCAGATTGCAGAAAGCTGGTACGATAGATGGTGACATTTTTTAAACTGTTTCCACCAAGTGGTTTCAGACCTTCCCGAAAATTTACCTACAGTATCGCAACCAGTAAAAACATGAAATCCAACAAGAGCTTTACTTCTATCTTTTCCTAAGATTTGATAGATCTTTTGGACATCTACTTGCCTTGAAGGTGTTAATTCTACAAAGCATTTTGTTGATAATTTATTTGCATGGGTGACGGCAATCACAAGGACACCAGTGTCCGGAGAAAAGATAACGATGGATGAAGAAGGATCTCTGGAAATATCAACAGCATGTAGAATCATAACAGTATCTGCTTCTTCCTGGTTATTTTCTGTAAATCATATCGTTCCTATGTTACTTCCATTGAATGAAATGGTGAAGAATCTCTTCTCAGCCTGGAGCATTCTATTGGCTTCATAAGCAAGAAATGTTACTATTTGCTTCGTTCTGCAATGAATCCCAAATTGATTGTGAAGCATCTTCACCTAAACGATTCTTGATAAAATCTGAATAAAGACTTTGTCCTTTATCTTCTACCGCTACTTGTTCTGATCTAGCTTTCTCAGGAAAAACAGTTTTTGTTATTATGTTGTAAGCATTGGTAGTACATGGTGGAAATGAAAAAATATCTGTTAATTCTTCTCTAAACGTGTTTTCAAACTTTCATATTATATCAGTTTGACGTCTCTTAAAAGATGCATTATTATGATGGTGTGCTGAAGAGTGACACAATTTCCATGACAAGTTGTTTAAATATCCCCTTGAAATATCAGCAAGGATTGGAGCTACCAGAAAGTATCGAGTTCGCGCAATTTCGTTGTTGAAAAATTCCAATCAAACCACCTTCTACCTTCATAATTTTATTCACCTGTTCACTGGCATGATCCATTCCAATTGATGTGAACGGAATCGAGGTCTGTTTCACTAAAAATTCTCATTCATGAAAGCGTTCCATATTCCAGGGTCATATTGTTCCAGACTTTGCATATCAGCGATATAGACAGGTAACATTCTTCTTTATTTTATACGGTCAATAATGCATATATCTTGAGACATCAGTGTTGATGCCTCTAAGTAAAGCTTCCAATCCCGTTGGCGAGTTGCTTGAATAAAGAGCAGAAGGCGTTCAATCATTCGCATATAAAACGTAGAAACTGGAACATTTGGTTGCTTTTAACACAATTGTCCAAGGAGTCCATTGTTTGAATTAATTGGCAGAACTGAATCTCTCGTTGCAACTTGTTGTGGCCACTCTGAACACTCTCCTTACTTTGTTGACGGCAGTTATTCACTTGATCATTTATAGCTTGATACAAACTACTGGATGGTTCAAGAAATTTTTCTGGAAATCTTGCTTGCAGTCCGATGAAATAAAACTTATACAAGGTAACTAGTGTTACACAGATCTCTTCATGTGGGAGCAATTAATAATTTGTCTTATTGTATTAGGGCCATAAACATCAGCTTCTAACCAACTGACATCTATTCCTGAATTTTCAATAAAAGATCCCATAGCTCGTAAATGTGCAAATATGGTATGGAGTTCACCTAAGTGTATGATAAATTTATCTCTAAGATCAGTTCTGCAATGTACAAGATTATAAGCTCTAGTATATAAATCCAGGTCCAATGAAATCACTGTTTTAGAATCATCACCACCTACCCAGGTTGATATCATCTGTGATCGTTTTAGAGCTGTATAAACTGATGAAATATCTGATGCTGGTGCTGGTATCAATGGAAACATAAACATATTTGTTGTGAAATCTTTCTGATTGAAAACGTTGATTTTCTAATGATTTCACAAGAATCCATGATAATTGTATAGAACATGGGTACGTTAGAGGTTTATCAATAACTGAACGATTAATGGAACAACCTACAGATTTTTTAAACTGCTTTCCACATGGTTTAGGGCAATCAAGAATTTTGTTAAAATCATTTTCGAATTTAGGTGCCTTTTAATATCAAAACTCTCTGTTAGTAAATCCAAAGTACAATGTTGGAATCCAGAAATCATAAGTACATGTGTTGTTCCCTTGCCATCTTCTGTGTCTTCTTCAAAATCTACATTATCGATATGGAAATACATTCTTCTGCATTAATTCAGGTATATAAACTCCATTATTATCAGATATATTTCCAATTGCAAGCATCTATCATTTGAGATACAAAGTTTCATTCTATTGAGAAGATTGATCATTCGTTTACTTCTTCCTAACTGCCTCAAAGTCAGTCCTAGACGAACAACTTGGTCGTTTTCGTAGGTCTGTTGGAGGTGTACTACATAATGTCATCCAAAAAGTGTCCGTAAAAAGTGGGTCAAATGGACAGAGGGGCAACACCTCACGTTCCCACTCTGCCATGAAAAGGTTTGTGTACAAAGGGGCGAATCGTTTGCCCATAGCTGTCCCTGAAATTTGTAAATATGTTTTATCATTAAATGTAAAATTGGATCTGGGTTAAAAGCTTTACGAACCAGTCGTATTATTGATATTGGTATACATAGAAGAAACGTCGATAGAAATTAAAATAGCATTAGAGGGAACTCGAAGATTTTTCATTTTATTGACAAAATCGGTTGTGTCTTTAATGTAGGCGCGATGCTGACATGCTAGAGATAGTAAGAAATGATCAATGTATTCTGACACTGCATATGACTCACTACCACAGTCAGATATAATCGGGCGGCCTTTAGGGATTTTATTCGAGATAAACCACTCCTTGGTTGGATTCTTATGGATTTTAGGCAAAGTGTACAAATGTCTCTCCAACAATCAGGTTTGGCAGACAGATAGTCATATTGTTTCTGTTTGAGATAACTAGTTTTGACTAAATCGGCAAGAATATTGTTAATCATATTGGCAGTTTCTTTGAAAATTGGTTTCGGTAAAATGGCATAATGTTTAGGATTATTCAAATGATTCTCTGCTTCTGAAACGTAATCCTCCCTATTCAGAATGACACAACATGAACCTTTGTCACTCTTTTTAATAACAATGCTATCGTCTTTCTTAAGTAAGTTTAACGCTTCACGTTTCACTCATGTGAGATTAGGCTTTTCGTGTGTTATGGAAAGGTTCGATGTTTGGTTATTCATACTCGCAAATGCTTTCAATATTTCAGGATGGATGGCGGCCTGAGGGGGTGTCCACGTGGATTTAGGAATGCACATTGTTCTAGCACCATGTGGGGGGTGGTATCGAAAAAATATGTGCAGCTAAGATTTCGTTAAAATCGTTCAATGAATGGTTTGAGATAATTTAAGTGTGGGAATAAACTTAAGTCCACGGTCTAAGATTGAAAGCTGAAGGGGAGTGAGAATTTTGCGGCTCAAGTTAACTACAGTTTGGCCTAACGGTGGCCTCTCAGTGTTTTTATCCCCAGTAATTAGTTTTAAGACTTACTTGATGCTTGAAGCTGGGGTATCCAAAATAAATAAATACTGTTTGCTGTTTCTGGAGACCAATGAAGATTATCAACTGGTTCCAATTCTTCTTCATAGGGTGGTAAGATTGTTGCGCTGTTGATATTCGACTCCATCATCATATTGTTGAGGGTGCTGAGGTTCTGTTGTGCTTACTTCGAGATTTTATTTTAGATGGGTATACACGTGAAGAGGGTCTTGGCGTTTGGGAAGGCTTTGTTGGCGGTAGCGATTAATTTCTGAGCTTGGTTAAAGGAGGTCCATGGTTGCTGATCACGGTTGTTGAGGCCTACATGAAGAATAACGGTTGTAGGTTTGGGATCATGGTCGTTTGATTCCAGGATTGACTGTATGTGATGGATTTGGGCACTGGGGTAAGAATGTATTTCAGTGTCTGAACTGGTCTTGGTAATTCGATTCAGGTTAGATGATCCAATAATTAAGATAGATTTCTTCAGAGTAGGTAGATTCCATGAAGATTCAGATGGTGTGGAAGGGGAAGATGAGTCTGAAAGTGAAAAGAGAAGAGGAGTGCCCTGTGAACGAGAGCATTTATCTATGTTTGCTGGACTAGGAGTAGGTGAACTTTGGGTTTTGGTTTTTGGTTTTTGCTGATGTTTTCATTGCTGGACGAATAAAACTAACTCAGAGACTTTTCGCTTGAAGGTAAACGCTGGCTGACCTTGCTGTTGAAGGGTAAGGATTGCCAAATGATGGAGGCACTGCAAAACTTGGAAGAACACCTCATAAAGGGTTCTTCCTTCTTATGAGTGGGGACTGGTTGGCGTCGGTGGGCTGGAAGTTGTTTCTGTTGTTGGTCAGGTCGGTGGTTACCTCTGGATTGGTAGGCTGTGTTGTAGGTAGGTTGGCGATGGGGTGGGATGTAACTGGGATATATCTTTGAGGATTTGGAGAAGTTTACTTCTGCAGTCATAGTAAATTCAGATGATAAAGGATTAATTTTCTTTAACTGCTTCTGCACTGTTTCACTGCTGCAACATATATCAATTGCCGAGACAATTGCCGATAAGTTTTTCTTGTCATAACATTCTTGGTCGAGCAGCACTATTCTTGGTTCCTAGAACAAGTCTGTCCCTAATCAGGTCATCATGCAGAGTTCCAAATTCACAAGTACTGGCGAGATGTTGCAGTTTTATAATGTACTCATCGACAGACTGATGTTCTCCATGATCACAGGTAAAGAATATGTAGCGCTCATATACTACATTTTGTCTTGGTATGAAATAAGTTTCCATAGCATCAAGTGTGCCCTCTACTGTTGTACGTTGTTCAGCAGTAATGTTTTGTTATACGAAATGTCAATTCTTTTTTTTTTTTGTTATCATATTGTCAATTCTTTTTGTGGGACTTTGCTACTGCAAAGTCCCAGTTTGTTTTCAAAATGTCAATTCTTTTTTTTTTTTTTTTCGAAAGTTACACACCTTCCTGAGCCTAGACTACAGTAGTTGCAGCAACCATTCAACTTCTCTAGACCTTCTGTAGTTGCGACGTGTTCCTTAAATATATATTGGAACATTTTTGCAAAACCGGAAGTGCCACAGTTCAACGTGCAAAAAGTCGAAAATCGGCTCTAGAAGGCGTATTTTTGCATCTATTTTCTTCAGGTTTTCATTTTTACAATCTACCTGTAATTTCTGACCTGATAGCACTTGAAAAAGCAAAAAAGTTGCAAAAATATAAAAAAATTTGATCGAAAAAAGTGAGGTACGAATTTTCGAATTTCGTAATTTTTCAAGTGCCCTCAGGTTAGAAATTACAGGTAAATTGTAAAAATGAAAACCCGAAGAAAATCTACCTAAAATGCGACATCTAAAGCTTTTTTTCTACTTTTTACACATGTCAGACCTCACAAATGAAAGTATCAGCAGATAGCCAAGGTCAATGACCTTTGATCTTGTAAAGGAGAAGGTCTAAAAAGGTCAAGATCAAGAGATATACGCCATCAAAATTTCAAATTACTAACGACTATAAAACCAGAAGTTGACATAGGACGGCAAATATAAAAGTATAAATAGATAGCCAATGCCAATGACGTTTGATCCTACAAAGGTCAAGGTCAACAAAGGTCAAGGTCAAAAATTGAAAATTTTGAATTTCCAAAACCTGTTCCTTTTTTTGAACTATGAAGCAGAAACAACCGAAATTTTGAGACAAAGTAGCTCAAAATATGAAGTAATTGTATGCAAAGTTCCATTTTGAACTGTATACTTTGCGAGTTATGCCCCTGACCAAAAATGTCAATAATGAGTAATTATATGCTTTAAAAAAACGATTGTTATATATCTATGTAAAACGCATGAGAAGCACATTAGGAAACCGAAAAAATTAACCCTCTAGGTTAATTAGGTCACGTGCTAGAGCAGTCCAAAGTTGCGAATTTGGCTTTTTACGGATAGCTATAAAACCGGAAGTACATGTCGGAGGTCAAAGGTCAAAGTATCAATTGATAGCCAAGGTCAATGACCTTTGACCCTATGAAGGTCAATGTCATCAAAGGTCAAGGTCACATGGTATGGGTGATTCAAGTTGGAAAAAAATTTGCACACAATTACCTCATCCTTTTGGCTAGTTTGTGTTAACAGCTCAGTTGTTTCAGCTTTATAGTTCCAAAAAAGGAACGGGTCTTAAAATTTCCATATTTTCAATTTTGACCTTTTTTGACTTTTGTTGACCTATATCTTTTGACCTGCATGATGTAGAAGCTTGAAATTTTGAACATAACATAAAATTTTGAATATCAATTAACCCATGCAAAAAAAATTGATGTGGGCGTGGCACATCCGGGTTAAATTATTCATTATTGACATTTTTGGCCAGAGGCAAAACTCGCAAAGAATACATTTGTTCAAAATGGAACTTTGCATACAATTACCTCACCCCCTTTGGCCAGTTTGTGCAAAAAGGTCAGTTGTTTCAGCTTCGTAGTTCAAAAAAAGGAACAGGGTATAATTTTGAATATTTTCAACTTTTGACCTTTACCATTGATGACCTTGACCTTTGTAGGATCGATGGTCATTGACCTTGGCTAAAGATTAATTCCTTCATATTTGATGTTCATCGTCAACTTCCGGTTTTACAATGTTTGTATTTTCAAAGTTTGATGACTCATATATAGTGACGTTGACCATAAATGACCTTCCCCTTAACATGGTTAAAGGTCATTGACCTTGGAAATCTAATCATACTTTCATATTTTATCTCTGGCTTCAACTTCCGCTTTCACAACCTTTCAAAAAAGCGAAATGGGTGACGGCAATATACGACTCCCATCTCATGTGGACTTGTAAAAATTCTACTTGTATTAATCGCGAGTTCATCTCCATTTCATGTTCTTGCATAAATTATACATCCAGAGATTGTCCCGTGTGGGTCACAAGGACATTGCAAAATATTTTGCGATATCTTGATGGGCTCATTAATGGTTCAGCTTGGTATAGGTAAAAAAGTTGTACCAATTAGAGCCACCCAAAAACTCCCATGAAAATAGACATAATGTCTGGTCCTAAACCCAGTTCCAATATCCCATCCAATTATTACATCCAAGGAACCTGATAGGGACCAGATTTGTCAGGCTAGTCAGATTATTACCTTCTTGTCCAGAGTGATTGATGGTTTAGTATCTTATCTTAAGTGGGTTGTAATAAAATTTTGCATCTTGACGATTCTGATCCTCAGACAATTGAGCTGCCTTTCCTAGCATGTTCATAAATTATAGTCAAATCTACAGCATTAATGTGAACATTTAGATAGTTTGATACCTTGTGACTTGCAGAATCTAGGAACAACTGGATTTTCATCATCTGCTAGCAACATGCTAATCTGATCAATCACTGAATTTAGTCAACCTCAGCTCAAGGACAACAGAGTTGCAGTTGCACACAGTTAGGTCTACTATGCATTGCTTATGATCTCTTTTTGCAAAATTTGGTTAGAATATGTGACAGACGACTTCATTCATCTGTCTATTTTGAACATTGGCTGCAACAGACCTGAAAAGATGTTTTGAATATTTATTTGACCGGAGCCCACCTTCATGTTTCAAATCGACATAAGAAACTTACCTTTCTGGATCAGTATTAATACCTATAATGGGTTTTGATTTATCCATTATTTTACTCGCAGCCAATAGAAATGTTCCATCTCCCCCTGCTGAAAATATTACATCAGCCCAATTTATGGCTTCTGTATGAAATTGCCATCGATTCACAACTCTAGCTTCTATACCAGCTAAACTATAAGAATCAAATGTTAAACATGTTTTATCACTGAAAAAATGAGCATTAATATCACACTAGCATTAAATGTAGGCCTACCCACTGGAGCTATGGTACCTGTTTTAACTCTATAAAGAAGGGTGTTTGACAGATCCTGAACAAATCCATTTGAGCTTTGAAATGAAAGGACTATGGCAACTTAATGTCTATCTTTTTTTAATCATCCCTTTATGCCCAGTGGAAGAATGTACTTAAAGGGATTGTTAAGAGGTATTCTAGCCTGTTTATGCGTATTAGGGACACGTTTGACTTCTAATTTGGGACATTCGAATTCTTCGTCCAATGCCTGTGGTTCCTGCAATTCCACAAAAAGTTTAACAGAAATGACATGGCTCCCTCAACAGAATTCTTATTTATGATAAAATGGTTGGTTTTGAAAACTAACTTGATTTACCAACTGTTTGCCTTACTGTATTCAAAACCAGCTATTTTGCGTATTTAACGCTCTAATTTGCCCAAATATCATACAGCTCTTCCATTCCATTAAAACTAAGCAATATAAGACATAGAAAAGAGTTATATAAAGCAACAGTATAACACAATGTGAATGAGTCGGCAATTTTTAGTTGGAAATGCCACCATCTTGTAAGGGAAGATAACATATATATTACTATGTTATTGTGGTCTGGTGGTATAATGATTAAGAATTCTCTTGCGGGAGCTACGTCATTTCCAGTTAACTTCTTCTGCAATTGCAGGAACCACTTTGGAAAAAGAATTGGAATGATTATATGCTTTTACTGTTAAGCTTAGTTTTGATTCTTGGGTTGTACCACTAAAAAGTTGATGCCTGTCAATTTTCTTGAGAAGTAGACAACAACAGACCCATTTTCATTTTAAGAAAATTTAGAAAATCAAGATGGCGGCCAAAGTATCACTTCCGGTCTGGATTTTATATTCTTCGTTTTTTTGTATTAGCATTTACTTACGACCTGCATAAATTCCGTTGACCTATTTCATTTACACCGGAAGTTACTCGACCGGAAGTAGATTGTACTTTCAATTGATTCCACCTTCAAAACCGGAAGTGACGTCAAAACTCTGACTGTATCATATCATTGACTTTATTGATGTCTGTTTGCATTTTAAATTTCAGATCAATCGATGCAAAAACAAAAAAGTTGCAAAAAAATTGCAAAATTCAATGAAAAAAGTGTGCGACAAATTTTCGAATTTCGTAATTTTTCAAGTGCTATCTGATCAGAAATTACAGCCAGATACGAAGATGATCTATTGCAATTACTTTATGTAAATACCTTTCTACATCTCTTAATGCAAATACCCAAAAGTGCCTGGAGTTTAAAGTATATTTACTAGGAATAAAAGAATATTTGTCAATTAATAAAGAATAAGTTTGATGAAATCCGGATAAGAAATAAGAAAGTTGGTAATGTGCATGCACTCAACAAAAATTCAATATTTCCATCAAATTTAGAATTGAATTAAACATATACATACCAAGTTTGGTGAAATTCGGATAAAAAATAAGAAAGTCGGTAATGCGCATGCGCACAACAAAAATTCAATATTTCCATCAAATTTAGAATTGAATTATTCACATACATACCAAGTTTTATGAAAATCGGAAAAGAAATAAGAAGGTTGGCAATGCGCATGCGCACTACTCAAATTCAATAATTCCATCAAATTTAGAATTTGATTATACACATACATACCAAGTTTGATGAAAATCGGATAATAAATAAAAAAGTTGGCAATGCGCACTTCGCAAATTCGATAATTCCATCAAATTTAGAATTTGTTTATACACATACATACCAAGTTTGGTGAAAATCGGATAAGAAATAAGAAAGTTGGTAATGCGCATGCGCACTACTCAAATTCTATAATTCCATCAAATTTAGAATTTGATTATACACATACATACCAAGTTTGATGAAAATCGGATAGTAAATAAGAAAGTTGGTAATGCGCATGTGCACTACTCAAATTCGATAATTCCATCAAATTTAGAATTGATTATACACATACATACCAAGTTTGATGAAAATCGGATAGTAAATTAGAAAGTTGGCAATGCGCATGCGCACTACGCAAATTCGATAATTCCATCAAATTTAGAATTTGATTATTCACATACATACCAAGTTTTATGAAAATCGGAAAAGAAATAAGAAGGTTGGCAATGCGCATGCGCACTACTCAAATTCAATAATTCCATCAAAGTTAGAATTTGTTTATACACATACATACCAAGTTTGATGAAAATCGGATAATAAATAAAAAAGTTGGCAATGCGCACTTCGCAAATTCGATAATTCCATCAAATTTAGAATTTGTTTATACACATACATACCAAGTTTGGTGAAAATCGGATAAGAAATAAGAAAGTTGGTAATGCGCATGCGCACTACTCAAATTCTATAATTCCATCAAATTTAGAATTTGATTATACACATACATACCAAGTTTGATGAAAATCGGATAGTAAATAAGAAAGTTGGTAATGCGCATGTGCACTACTCAAGTTCGATAATTCCATCAAATTTAGAATTTGATTATACACATACATACCAAGTTTGATGAAAATCGGATAGTAAATTAGAAAGTTGGCAATGCGCATGCGCACTACGCAAATTCGATAATTCCATCAAATTTAGAATTTGATTATACACATACATACCAAGTTTGATGAAAATCGGATAAGAAATGAGAAAGTTGGTAAATTAAGTGGAGGTATACCTTCAATATGCTGCCGTGAGCTTAAACTAAAATATGAAATGATTCAATCCACCCGAGAGCTTAATTTTATACCATAACTGGACAAAGATCATTTTTAAGAAATATAAAAGGGAGGGTATCTTTAAAACAACTTAAAATTTGTTTTCTGTTGGGGTTGACAGCCAGGTTAATCTAATTAGCCGATCTAATTATCTAATAATAACCCCATGTTACGGGAATGGAGATTTGAATTTGCATGTAAGGTATGCATGTTAAATATCTATGGAAAGCTGAGAATTTCTACATTACAAAATCGAAAGAATTATCGCCATATCTCTATTAGTAAATATGAAGGTCATCAAAGGTCAAGGACAGGAGATATACGCCTTCAAACTTTGAAAAAAACAATCCTGTCTTATAAAAAAGGCAAAACCGAAAATCAAAATTATGCTTCCTATCATTTGTAGACAAACATTAAACAGATCGTTTGACACAAACGTTACGCAAATCGGATTAAAAATGAATTCTGGGAATCGATTTGGGCAAAAATGAGGCAAACCAATATGGCGACAAACATGTTACTTCCGGTAAAATTTTTTTTAGTTTAAAAGGTTTGTATTAAGGCTGGTAATATAATGCATATGTTACTTTTGACATAAATCAATTTCACCGGAAGTGACGCCACTGGAAGTACTAACATCCAAACCGGAAGTAATGAAAAATTTTTGAATGTGTGCTTTTATTCCACTTTGCTGGCGGTCTACACCATGTAAGTTTCAAGTCAATCCGCTAAATAACAACCAAAATAGTATTTTTCGATTAATTTCAGCAAAAAAAAGTATGCAACGAAATTTCGAAAATTGAAAATTTTTAACTGCTATCATTTGCCCTTTGTTACAAGAAATGCAATGAAAGAAACCTGATCAAAATCGGTTGATAAACATGCCCTCTAGAGGCGATTTTCTGTTTGTTGCTAACGTCGCTTCATGTTGCTCAGAAAATTTTCATTTTACATTCATTCCACAATTCTCCACAGGTTAGAAAACATGGTGAAATCCGTTTTGCCGTACCCGTTGCCGTTTCCGAGAACTAAGCTCCCGGGATGAAGAAAAAAAATAAACAGTTAGAAAACAATGCAGGGTGTTTAGTAAAATTGGTAATGTGCATGAGCACAACAAAAATTGGTTATTTCCATTGAATTTATAATTGTATTATACACATACATAGCAAGTTTGATTAAATTCGGATAAGAAATAAGAAAGTTGGTAATGCCCATGCGCACTATGCAAATTCGATACATCCATCAAATTTTGAATTTGATTATACACAAATATACCAAGTTTGATGAAAATCGGATAAGAAATAAAGTTGGTAATGCACAAGCGCACTACGCAAATTCGATACATCCATCAAATTTTGAATTTGATTATACACATACATACCAAGTTTGGTGAAATTTGGATAACAAATAAGAAAGTTGGGAAATTAAGTGGAGGTATACCTTCAATATGCTGCCATGAGCTTAAACTACATAACATGATTCAATCCACCCGAGAGCTTATTAATTATATACCATATCTGAACATAAAATATTGGGTGGGTGTCTTAAAAACAACTTAAAATTTCATTTCTGTTGGGGTTGACAGCCAGGTTAATCTAATTAGCCGATTTATCTAACAATAACCCCATGTTAAGTGAATTGAGTTTTGAATTTGCATGTAAGGCATGTATGAAATATATCTATGGAAAGCTCAGAATCTCTACATTACCGAGATGTAGCACTTTAAAGGCTGAAAATGGTCCATATTTAGACCCCTGTAAAATTGGAAACAGGTATCTAACCCAAAAGGTCAAAAGGTCATAGGATAGGCAAGGTCACAAATTATCATCACAGTAAATATGAAGGTCATCAAAGGTCAAGGTCATGAGATGTTGATTCTAAATTAATCTTACTTGTGTTAGTCTAAAGGTTAATTTTAGGCCGTCTGAATTTTGTATTTGTCTCCCTTTAATGGGGAACCAAACTCGGATTATCTGCCCCTGAAGATGGCGCCACTGACTAGGGTCCTGGAAGTCGACCGTACGCTTTAGTAATATTGTTTGACAGCTACAGAACTCAGATTACGACATGCCTAAAACTTGTTGTTGTGTTCCTGGATGTTCAAATAGAGGAGGGATTTGTCACCAATCGACAAAAAGCTTCGAAAGAAGTGGATTGTTGCTGTGAAAAGGCGGAAATCACTGAAGGGAGATGCGGTGAGAGCTTACTTCGTCCAGCGTAGTTTGCAGAGATTTCGTCCAATTTACATCCTCTGGCAAGTGTTTTCATTTGCTTTATTAGATAAGTTTTCTTTTGTCATTGTGATATGTCTAGATATTCTTCGGAAGCCACTTGACACTAGTACGGCGGTCTGACTCAGTGACTGAGTCTTATTTACATCATAGAACTGTATGTCAGACTACTGACAGTAGGCTATACAGTTCTAAGTTTACATTATTACTCCCATTTTGTCTATCTATGGCTATGGCCTGGGTTGATAAAAATGCCTGAGAACACAAATACTTGTGCAATGACATGTGCTTGATTATTTTTACACGTAACCTTCTACTTATACCTATTTTATTTTTATGATTACAGGCATACTTCCTTTGAGACATCAACGCAAAGGCCCCAAGATATTTTTAGCAGCTTTTACGATATTGAGATCATACAGCGCTTAGTTGAAGTGGAATTACAGAAAACACAGATGTCTGAATGAAAATTGGAATGGTGCAAAATAATGTCCCAAATACACATTCAAAGATTAGAAATTCTAAGAATACCAGTTTACAATCCCTTCAATTTATTGAATGAAAAATGACTTGATTGGTAATTATATCATTAGCCTGACAAATCTGGCCATACCAAGGTTCTCAGACATGATATATAGGATTATCATATGATATTACCACAGGTAGGATCAGACATAAAAAATCCACTATCTTCAAATGACAAAATCTAAATTTATAAGAACTTTTGGTATCTATACAAAGTTGAACTTTAAGAGTCCATAAAGTCATTACTAGCTATTTTACAAACTTGTTTGTTTTGGTACCCTGTATATAGAATATCTGGTAACGTTTTTATAGTTCAACTTAGTATGGATACCAAAGGTTTATAATTTTGGCAACTCCATTAAAAGGTGACATTAGATGGCTTTCTCTACCAGTGATGATATCACACTAATACCAATATATTATATAAATTGGTAGGACCTGATTTGCCAGGCTTGATGATAATAAACTTTTTTTTTTATCTTGTAAATATGATAATAAACTATTTATTTACACAATATTCTGATGTACAATTTGTTAGAATCTATGCACAAGTACATGTGTATGAAATGGACAGACTATGTTGCTGTAATACAATCCAATCAAATTGCTTGATACAATAATAGTGGCTATTGCAGTCAATGTAAAATTACACAGTTTGTCATAGCTTGACATTATGAACATGATTGACATTTTTCATTTTAGTACAGCTATTTCTAGCCAATTTAAAATGAATAAGCTTATTTATAATAAAATTTGTCTAACACAGCTTTTTTAAAGTGATTATTATAAAAAAAAGTTAATTTCTGTACCATACTTTGAATAAAAGTGTCATTCTTGTTGATAGTTTTGAATTTCATATCTTTAAAGGTGTTAACAATGAAAATGCATTCTTGGCGTCCTGTACACCCTGAACTTGAAAATAATAGTCATGATTTTCTGAAAGATAATACTTTTGATTTGTCTCGCAAAATTTCAGATATGGCACAGTGTCTGTATTAATGCATTAGTCTTTAGATGAATATTGACACTTCACCTCAATCACTTTATGATTATCCATCAATCCATCTGGTGAGGAAGCTAGAAACGGTCTACCTTTACAAACAAATGTTCCACATTGGTCGACTGTATCCTGTGTTTAACAAATTCGTCAATAGCAAATTTTTCAAACTTCTTTCCATAGATAAGAGGAGCAGCTTGTATGTCTTGGGAAGGTTCAGTCATGGACTTAAAAAGTTTTTCAAGGTTTGTTCTATCAGTTGCCTTACATATAGTAGGTACATTTCTAGCAGCACACTCACTCTGGGATTCAGCTATAATGCCATCTATGTCAATGTGATACGAAACTTTCTTCTTCATTTCTGCATGACATTCGGATTTGAAAAAATATTAACTGTCAGTAGATGCTATTCTCAGAAGACGATAGGTATAAAGTTTCTATGAGTCGTCATCAAGTTTCTTTTGAAATTGTTCATGGTAACACAGGATTGATTCTAACTTCAGTTATGAAAATTTGGTATCAGTGTTAATGTCTTTGTAGAGATCATAATTAGGAATTTCCATTGAATATTCATTTTCCAATTCTTCATGTTCAATATCTTTATTTCTGTCAAAAAATTCAAGCCTAAAAAGTAAAACAAAAAGATAATTTTTGTCAAGAACTTTCTAACCCCAGAAACTATTATAATAGGAAAATTGTAGGGCCCAGAACTACCATCCTACATGAATTGAACTGCCCATTATCATCACAGGAGTTATCCTAAAATTTGAAAGGATTAAATTGAAATTGGAAAATGATAAGGCCTAGATCAATCACACTACCGCCATCGATAGTCTACTACTACTAATCTAGTCACTAGCCTAGGCCTAGCCTATTAGGCTAGTGCCTTATACAGGTAGACTACTTGATGTGTTTTTCTTAATCTAATTGTCTCAGATTATCAACACCTTTTCAATTATATTGTCTTTCAATTCACACTACACAACTGCGAAGGAGTGGAACTGTCGAAGACACCTGACCACTTGTCATTTTTAACTACTTTCGCTTTTTTGACAGGACGTATTGATCTAGTTAATAACGGATGCTTAAAATAATCAAAGAAACTTACGAACCTTTCGATTGAATCCCTCTTTCTTCCAGATACTTTTCCCACTCTAGATTTCAATTCCTTTCTCAGTTTAGTTAAGTCCCATAGACCATAATCACGCTTCGTCCATTTACATGATCAGCCATTGTTGCAGAACCGCGGGACCGCAATAGCCGTCGCGCCATTTACATCAAGGAACGACAACTCGCGAGTTTGGTTCCCCATTGCATTGTCTCTGGAAAGGTACTGTGCTGCATTATATTTTTTAGTTTGATCTGAGAATTATCTCCCTTACAGGAAGTGAAGTTGTCACTCTTTCTTTTCAAGATAAGTTAGTTTATATGAAGAAAATATGTTAAGCCGTATAAGTTAGTTTATATGAAGAAAATAAGGCCACAACGTGTCTGTAAGCATAATTTAGTAAGTTTTCAATGTATTCCAGATAATCTAATAATCATTGTGTATGTTCTGCAAGTTCCAGTTTTATTCAATCTCTGTATTATTTAAAGGAAAACCTCGTTGGTCAATTTATTTCTAAAAATGTGATAGAACTCTCATTCATCACTTGTCACAATCATACATAAACGGCCAAGAATAAATAAAGGAGTTTTCGTCTTCATATGAAGTTGGTGTTGTTTGATGAGCCAGAAGCATATGGGGTCCGATCGAGTCAGTGCATTTAGATGTTAAGCCGTATAACACCAGTTCAAGAAGACTAAACGCATTGGCGGATATAATCATTTAGACACGTTAAGAGCTCATTTAGAAAGATAGAGCTTATTGAGAAGTAGAATAGAAACAGTGACTTCATTTAAGTTAAAATTTAAATTAAGAGATAAAGGAAGGTCTAACCAAGAAGGCTACAGGTGCAAATGATAATGCTAATGATAGGATCTTTCAAGACGTTTTACAAGCAACTGTAGAATTAACAAGAAGAAGAATAAAATTAAGAAAGTTAATTACTGAAGAAATAAAGGAAATAGACCAAGATTTTATTGGAGAATTGAATAGATGCAATGAATTAATGGAGGAGTCCTGGGATAGACTTCAATACTGTCATTTGAAGATTTTAGAAATTTTAACTGATGAGCAAGGTATCGAAGAAGAATATATTAGATATGACGATCAGAAATCAATGACTAATGATATTAGAAGAAGATTAGCTGTTTGGATGAAGAATAAAGTGAAACAGAATGCATCTGAAGAGGATATATTTAGCTCAAATTTAAGTCAGACAAATGAAGGTATTACTTCACCTTCAATCTACAAGAAAGACTTGATTTAGAAGCAGAGATAAAAACAAAGAAAATAGAAGCAGAAGAAAGAGCACATGATTTTAAAGAAGTCCTTCAAGAAAGTTCCTTTACAAGATCCCCCTTCCAATGACAATGCCAATGGACAAGAATCAGATGATCACCAAACACAATCAGCAGATGCTCTTCAAGAAATACTGACAAATCAAATGAGATGTATGGAAAGAATGTTAGCTAGTCAACATCAAAATACTATGCTGTTAACATTACCTAAACCTGAGATACAAGTATTTAATGGAGAACCCCTTGACTTTTATCCTTTTATAAGATCATTTGAAAATTTGGTTGAAGGAAAAACTGAGAATTATAGTACTAAACTGTATTACTTAGGAGAAGTTCAGAAACTGATGAAAGGTTGTTTATCTATAAAGATGGATATCTAGAAGCAAGAAGATTATTAAAAGAAGATTTGGTGATGATTACACTATAGCGACAGCCAATGTTGATAAAATACCCAAATACCAACAACTCAAGTCAGAAGATGGAAAGGGTTTACAACAATTTTCTGATGAACTGATTACATGTAGAAATACTTTGAGAGTAATTGGGTACCTAAGTAAGATACAGAATCCTGATAATTTGCAGACAATAATTAGTAAGTTACCATTTGACATCAGAAAGAGGTGGAGAATGAAAGCTGATCATATAACAATTTTTGATCAAAGGGAAGTAACTCTTCATGATATAACTGATTATGTAGAAAAGGAAGCCAGGATGGCCAATCACCCTGTATTTGGAACTGTACAAACTGATAGACAACAACAGAAACCTAGAAATGAACAATTTAATTCAAGATACAACAAGCCACATTACAAACCTACATCTAAGTTGATGAAAACAGTAAATGGAAATCAATTTGTAAATTTTGCAAGAAATATCATTTTGTATCAGGCTGTAAGGAATTTCTAGGCAAAAAACTTGATGAAAAAAGAAAATTTGTAGCAGACAACAACTTATGTTTTAACTGTTTATGTAATAGTCATAGAGCAAGATTTTGTAGGATGAATAAGAATTGTGATATATGTAAAGGTAGACATTCTGTATTACTCCATCAACCTGAAGAAAAACCTGAAGTAGCCAATAGATTTGTCGCAACAACTACAAGTCAAAGCTCAAAGATTGCTTTTATTACCAGTTAAAGTGAAGACAAGGGGCGGCTCCACTCTAATCTCTACATATGCTCTACTTGACTGCGGTTCCAATGGAACATTTTGTACAGAAAGACTGCCGAATTTACTACATATTACTGGAACAACAACCAAATTAAGATTAACCACATTAGACAAAGAGAAATCCGAAGTTGAAAGCAGCTCTGTGTCTTTAGAATTACACAGTATTAATGATACAAGTTTCACTGAAATATGTAATGTATATTCGAGACCAACTTTGCCACTTCAAATGATATACCTAAACAAGAAGATATTGATAGATGGTCGTACTTAGATGGTATTAACATCCCTCCTTTGAATAGTGGTGTGGATTTGATAATTGGTCTTGATCACAGAAAAATACTAGAAACAAGAGAAGTAATACAATGTAGAAACCACGGACCATATGCAGTAAAAACTATACTAGGATGGGTAATAAATGGACCTCTTGGAACCAAGAATAACTTAAGAGAAAAGACTTGCAATTTTATTAAATCTGATGTGCAATTAAGTGAACAGTTTCAACAGTTTTGTAATATGGAATTTGATACTATTGATGAGACAAGATTAGAAATGTCCCAAGATGATAACAAAGCTGTGGAAATCTATAAGAAGTCGATTGAAATATCTGAAGGCCATTACCAAGTCGCTCTCCCTTTGAAGACAGACCCACTTGACCTACCTACTGCAGACCAATGGTGGAACATAGATTTAATTTACTAAAGGAAAGATTCTTCAAAGATCCAGATTTATATCTACGTTTTGAAGAAATTATCCAAGATTTATTGAAAAATAACTATGCAGAAAAGGTTCCTGATGACGAAGTTGAAAGAACTGATGGAATGTTATGGTATCTCCCTCACCTTCCAGTATTTCATGAGAAGAAACCTGGTAAACTACGAGTAGTATTCGACTGCTCAGTGAAATATCAAGGCATTGAACGATGTGTTATTGAAAGGACCAGACATGACATCAAACTTAGTTGGAGTTCTGACAAGATTTAGGCAGGGTTTCTATGCAATGATGGGTGACGTCCAGTCGATGTTCCATCAAGTAAATGTCATTCCAACTCAAACAGATTTATTTCGACTATCGAATGAAAGTACACGTATTTGGCGCTACAAGTTCACCAAGTGTTTGTAACTACGCCTTGAGAAGAACAGCCGATGATCAAATTGAGAATTATAGCCCTGATATTATTGACTTATTATCCAATGGTGGATTCCAACTTACTAAATGGACTTCAAATTCAAGAAAGGTCCAGAGATGTTTCAAACCTAGTAACTTTGGAGAAATTAAGTTGTCTCATCTCCATCATTTTGCAGATAGTTCAGAACAAGCTTACAGTGCAGCAACCTATCTGCGACAGTTGATACCAATGGTAAAATTTGTCATTGGAATGTCAAGAGTAGCACCTTTGAAGACGCTGAGTATCCCAAGATTAGAGTTATCAGCTGCAACTGTTTCGATTCGTTTGAACAATATAGTCAACAAAGAACTAGAATAAGAAGTAGATGATACATATTTTTGGACAGATAGTACAAATGTACTGAAGTAAATTAATAACAATAATAAAAGATTTAATACATTTGTTGCCAACAGAATCACAACTATTTTAGATGGTTCATCAAGATCACAATGGAAATATGTAGACACATCACAGAACGTTGCCGATTCAGGTTCAAGAACCCTAACTGTCAACTCATTTCTCAAGGATTCGAGATAGTTATTGGGGCGGGAATTTTTATGGAAAAATGACGATAAATGGCCCAAACATCCTGAAGAATTTCATTTAGAAGAAAATTTTCTATAGGGTTTCTATGCAATGATGGGTGACGTCCAGTCGATGTTCCATCAAGTAAATGTCATTCCAACTCAAACAGATTTATTTCGACTATCGAATGAAAGTACACGTATTTGGCGCTACAAGTTCACCAAGTGTTTGTAACTACGCCTTGAGAAGAACAGCCGATGATCAAATTGAGAATTATAGCCCTGATATTATTGACTTATTATCCAATGGTGGATTCCAACTTACTAAATGGACTTCAAATTCAAGAAAGGTCCAGAGATGTTTCAAACCTAGTAACTTTGGAGAAATTAAGTTGTCTCATCTCCATCATTTTGCAGATAGTTCAGAACAAGCTTACAGTGCAGCAACCTATCTGCGACAGTTGATACCAATGGTAATATAGTCAACAAAGAACTAGAATAAGAAGTAGATGATACATATTTTTGGACAGATAGTACAAATGTACTGAAGTAAAGAACAATACCAAAAGGAATCTTAAAGTTGGTGATGTTATTCTATTTGAGGAAAAAAATAAACCTCGCGGAGCAATTTCTAAAGTTTTCGAAGATGATAGTCAAACTAAAAACCAGAACCCAAATATTTAAGAGACCAATTGATAAACTTGTTTTGCTCGAGAGTGTTACTGATTGACTCTAATAAGATATTATGTATAGTGACTTTATTATCATCAGCAAAGTTTCAAAGTGTGTTATTATTATATTCCACTATAGCCCTTCGGGCATCTCGGATTTATGAATGCATTATTCTTGCACGCAATCAATGTTCAAAGAAAGAAAAATTCATGTGCTTGTATGTATACACAAGCAATCATGTGACTAGATATGGTGACTATATAACCCATAGCTCGATTGTGATCAATTGTCTTTTTTCTTGTTGAAAACTAGACCTTGCACGTCGTTACGTTCGTGGCAATTTCGTAAGAAATATTTACTTTTACTTTAGTTTTGTGAACGCTGCTGGTTTTCACAGTTTAACATTTCGATTCAATCCGTTAGATCTTATCTATTTTTGCTATCAATGGCTGAGTCAGACAATGATGACATTCCTGTCAACAATGATATAATTATCAGTTATGATCCCTTAGATTTAAATTCGCAAGATACAGATATATCGCCCTCAAATCGGGCCACTGTAAGTAATGTTTGTGTTGGTTTTCAAACATCTGGGGCTTCAGGTAAACCAGAAGTCAATACTTCTAAGGTAAACAATCTGAGGAAACGCCGAATTTGTAATAAGCCTACTCCTGGTAAGAACAGTAAAAGTCTCAAATGCAAAAAAAATGATGCTAGCCATATACCAAAATCGACCGTTGTCCAGTCGGATCATAAGGTGCCTTCTACCGTACGCCATGTTAAAACCTGTAGGCCTATGAGTCGTGTGAACTTTGGAAACAAGTCCAACTATGATAATAATAATAAACCGTGTACAGTAGGTTCTAGCGACTTTGCAAATTTTGATTACTCTTTGGCACCTGGCAATGAACAGAATGACTCTGACCAGTTCTATGATTATGATCGTGATATTTATTTTGATTGTGACCCTTCAACTTTTGTTGGAAAGGTTAATACTAATCCTAGTTCTTATAGATCTAATGTCAATGATTTTTCTTCAAATAATGTTGTTCTTAATCGACAGGAATTTGAAGATATGAAGAACCAGATGGCTGCTATGAACAGTTTTTTGCAGGCAAATCTTCCTATTGTTCAGGAGGTTGAAAATGATAGGTCCTCTCTTATGGCTGAACTGAATGATATCAGATTTAGTTGACCCAGAGTCCATGTACAATGAATTCCTTGAAGAATTCGAGGACCCTGATGACTTCGACATTCCAAAAATATTTCAGGCTGATGACTTATTCGCTAAGCCAGCTAAAGAGAATGTTATTAACTAGGTCAATGTAGCAACATCCAAAAGAGTTGAGATTGGCAAGATGGCATCAAAATATCCTTTAGTGGACGGCGATGTTTGGAGTGTCTTACCAAAACCAGCCCAGGCTCAGGATAGTGCATTGCAGGATGTGCAAAAACTTATTGGACTTAGCAGAGCCCCCGTTCTCCCATTACTTTCCTCTAGCAACAAACAGGAAGTGAAAAATAATGTGGTTGATTCCATTGTCACTATGGGGAACGTCATGTTAGAGTTGTCCTTCAGGAGAATTTTTCTCGAATGTTTTTTGAGCAAGAGATATCACCCCCTGTGCTCCACAACTCGCCCTGTTGGAGACACTCTATTTGGTCCGGATGTTGCTACTCGGATGAGAGAGATTGATCAGTCCAATCGACTCTATTCTAACTTGAATAATTCTAATAGAAATTATCGTTTTTCTAACAATAGACCATCTTTTTTAGGGCAGGGCTCAGCGGGTCGTTCAAGAGGGAGGTTCCGTTCACGGGGAAGATATACCCGAGGACACGGACACAGTTATCAACAACCTCAGTCGACTGCTCAGCAGCAACAGTCTGCTTAAATGAAGTAAGTAGCTCTAATTCATTTTTTGCTGGTCAAATTGCCAATTTTATTCCCAACTGGCAAAGGCTGTCATCAGATCAATGGCTTTTAGAGACAGTTCAGGGATACTTTATTGATTTTATCAGTCCTCCTGTTCAGAGATGTCTCCCAGTTTCACCAAATTTTAACAGTGATGAGATGTCTTTGATAGACAAAGAGGTTTTTGACATGCTCTCCAAAGGGGCTATTGAAATTGTTCCAAGTGATCCCAGACAGTTTATTTCAAATATTTTTCTAGTTCAAAAGAAAAATGGCAAGTTTAGACCAGTAATAAATCTGAAAGCATTAAATGAATTCGTTAAATATGAGCATTTCAAACAGGAGACATTGAGCGTGACTCTCCGTACAATTCAGCCAAATGTTTTCCTAACATCCATTGATCTGAAGGATGCATATTTTTCAATTCCCATTTTTTCTGAGCACAGGAAGTTTCTCAGGTTCTACTGGTGTAATGTTCTTTATCAGTTTACCTGTTTGCCTTTTGGTTTATCATCTGCGCCACGCATTTTCACCAAAACTTTCAAACCTATTTTTTCTCACTTAAGAAAACAAGGTGTAGTCTGTTCTTACTTTATTGATGATTCTCTTTTTTCTGCCAAAACATGGGAACAAAGTATAAAAATAACTAGGAAGGCATCAGATCTTTTTGAGAGTCTTGGGTTTTGTGTAAATGCTGACAAATCCAACACTGTTCCATTTAAGGAAATAGTTTAGTTGGGTTTCTTGATAAATACAGAGACTTACACAGTTTCTTTAACGTCAGATAAGATTATGAAAATTAAGACTATGGCAAGTGATTTGTTATCATATGAAACTCTGACTATTCGTAGAACTGCATCTTTTATTGGGCTGTGTTCCTTTTCAAGAACGGCAATAATTGTTGCTCCTCTGTTTATTCACCATTTAGATATACATAAGACTTTAACCCTTTTCAGAAATAATCAGGATTATGATGCTCCAATATATCTTAATAGTGATATGAAATATGAATTGAAATGGTGGATTTACAATGTGGATTCATATAATGGGTTCTTCATCCAACCCCCTGTCTTTGGTGTTTTCCAAGGAAGTTTGATCCGCTGGATCCGTCCTTAGGGACTGATATAAATTATCTGGCTGATCTCTCAATCGAGAGCTCATATAGTGTTGTCAATACTCACAGATCAGCTATATCGCAAACATTGCAAATTCTTAGTAAAGATGTTTTAAAAGATCAGTCTTTAGTCAGGCGCTTCATGAAAGGTTTTTATGATAGGAAGCCTCCTAGGCCTAAATATTTGGTGACCTGGGATGTCTCTGTCTTGGTGAGTTATCTTTCCACCCTACATCCTTTGGAAAATCTTTCCCTTAAACTTGTTGTCACTTTGTACTGGTCAGAGATGTCAAACACTAACTGCATTTGATATAAACAATATTTTAGACAATGGTTTTTCTGTCTCATTAAGAGTCAATAAAGTCCTGAAGACTTCACGAGTTACCACTCCATTGTACTCCATTCATTTACAGAATTTTGTAGATGTTAAAGTTTGTCCTTATGCTACTCTTAGGAGATACTTGGAACAGACTGCAGACATAAGGAAGTCTGATCAACTCTTTATTTCTTTTCATACTCATAGTGCTGTCTGTGCATCCACCATCGCAGGATGGATCAAGAAGAGTATGTTGGTCGCTGGGATTGATACTAGTATTTTCACTGCTCACACTCAGTTCGGAGTGCAGCAACATCAGCGGCATTAAAATCTGGTTGTAATATTTCAGATGTTATGAAGACTGCCAGTTGGAAGAATGCTGATACTTTTGCCAAGTTTTATAAGAGGGAGACTGTAAATAATGTAACACAGGGTTTTCAAGAATATATATTAAAAGTCTAATATTGGTTGTGTTTTTTCAGTTGTCAACCCTTTAAAATTGCATTCATAAATCCGAGATGCCCGAAGGGCAATAGTGGAATATAATTCCCCTCTCATCCGAGCGCCCAAAGGGCTATGAATATATAGCCCGAAGGGCTCGAGGATTTATCCTCCCTCCCTTGTGTCCCTCCCTTGGCTTTTTTTGGTTGCCAACTTTTACTTTAAAAAGACAATTGATCACAATCGAGCTATGGGTTATATAGTCACCATATCTAGTCACGATTGCTTGTGTATACATACAAGCACGTGAATTTTTCTTTCTATGAACGTTGATTGCGTGCATTTTCTAGTGCAGAACAAGAATAATGCATTCATAAATACTCGAGCCCTTCGGGCGCTCGGATGAGAGGGGAATTTTCTAACAATTGATTAATTTGGAATCATTTACGCTTCGCTTTAACTCTACATTTACGGAGCCGGTATGTTGATTCTAAATTAATCTTACTTATGTTAGTCTAAAGGTTAATTTTAGGCGGTCTGAATTTTGTATTTGTCTCCATTTAATTGCATTGTTCTCTGGTGTTATAGTTTTATGTTGGTGTGGACTATAAACACAACGTTCAGGAGGACAGTTTTACTCAGAATGAATATTATACAATAATGACATGCGCAATAGACCGTACAATACGTCACGCAAGTGGTTATCACATGATACAACATCCCCCTGTTTTTGTAAGATAACATTAATAGTTAAGGTTTGAATTGTTCAATTATATTTAAATAAATATATTGGTCTTTGTAACGACTTGGTGTTTTTATTTCACGTCCAGATCTCGACTTCACATATTGATGTTCTGATGAAGGGCGCGTAGTGGGTTTGTCTTCTTCCGTTGTACTGTTGGTTGGTGGAATTATTGGATTCGATTCTAGACCGTTGTGATTTCCATGCAATGGTAGGGCAATGGTTGGAGTTGGTTGGGGTAGTGCAAATCTTACTGTTTTAACTGGTTTTGGAAAGGTGTTATAACTTAACAGTGTTGGCTGTGGTTGTGTTGATGCTCGTTGATGCACTTCCCGTAACTGAGATCTATTACGTCGGACTGTGGTTCCTAAACTCGTCCTGACGATATATGATCTGGGTGGGTGTAGTAGCTTTTCAACAATATGACCTGGAGTCCTTGTTTTCGACCTGTGGTCAATTATGCGGACCGGCTGGCCGGAAAATAGACGAGGCAATTCAGTTGGCAAGGAATGACTGTCATGATGGACTTTCATGATTTTGTTCCTGTTGATTAGATGGGATCGTTGTTCTTCTATCTTTGGACTCGGGGTCTGGTGAGAGGGTAAGGTGGTACGAATGGGTCTACTCAAAAGGATTTCGGCTGGTGAAGGTAAGTTATAATCAACTGGAGTAGCTCTTAGATGTAGAAGTGCTTTATCGATATCTTGTTGACTTTTAATACATTTTTTGATGATAGACTTCACTGTTCCAACTGTACGCTCTGCCATGCCATTTGACTGTGGAGAGGAAGTAGTGTGTTTTATCCCCCAGTCATAGCAGAATTGTTGGAACTCTCGTCCAGTGTACTGTGTACCATTGTCGCTAACAATTTCTTCCGGTACACCAAAAATCGAACATATAGATTTCATCTCTGCTGTAACAGATGCACTGTTGATTGAGTTTATCAGCTCCTTGATAATTGGGTATTTGCTGAAGTAATCAACAACTAACAGGAAATGTCTTTCGCTGATTTGAAAAAGATCAGTTCCAAGTTTTATCCATGGAAAAGGTGGTACATCATGTGGTTGGAGTGGTGCGGACTTTTGTCTAGGTTGGAATTCTTGACATTGGTCGCAGTTGCGGATCATCTTCTCGATATCTGCATTGATATTAGGCCAATAGATAGATTCTCAAGCTAATTTCCTAGTTTTCTCTATACCTTGGTGAGATGCATGAAGTTGGGAGAGAATATCAGCTTGAAGGGTCTTTGGAATAAGTATCTGTCGGCCTTTGAAGATAATTCCTGATGTGACAGCTAACTGGTCTCTGTATGACCAGTATGGTCGCAGCTCACGGGTCAACCCTTTTATCGTGTCCGGCCACTCCGTAAGAATAGTCTCACGAAGTCCGTTGAGTACAGGATCGGCAGTTGTCTCGCTTCGTAGTTGATCTTGTTTCGTTGTACCAAAATTGATTAGGTCTATGTCGACACTATCAATTACAAGCGTTTCGACACATTCATCTAGAGGTATTTCACTTGAATTCTTTGGGTTTGGTAGTCTGCTAAGGGTATCTGGTATGACTAGTTCTGGACCAGGTTTGTAGACTAGATCAAAATCGTAGCCGGCTAGTTTCAAAAACATGCGCTGAAGCTGAAGTGGTGCACTGGTAATTGGTTTCTGGTGGATCATCACAAGTGGTTTGTGATCGGTGATGACTGTAAAGCGTCTGCCATACAGATAGACATGAAAACGATTAATACCATGCACCAAGGCAAGAGCTTCTCATTCGATGTTTGAATAGGCTGCTTGAGTTGGCGTCAAGGATTTTGAGGCAAAGGCAATTGGCTTTTCCTGTAGTAGTGCTGCTCCAAGTCCTTTTTGACTAGCATCTACTTCAAGAATGAGAGGTTTACTGACATCGTAGTAGGAAAGGCAAGACTCGGTAGTGATGAGCGATTTCACTCTCTCAAAGCAGGTTTGGTGATCTTCCTACCATTCAAATGGTACATCTTTTCGTATGAGGTCACGTAGAGGCTGGCTCTCGGAACTGTAGGTATATATGAACTGAGGTAGCTCATCATTCCAAGAAATCGTTGAAGATCTTCTTTGGTTTGAGGAGTAGGCATTCTTTGGATATCACATATCTTATCAGGGTCGGGTATGATGCCGCGATCTCTGTACAAGTTTCCAAAGAATGGTATCTCTTTGCGGTTGATGATACATTTGTCCGAATTGAATACAAGTCCTTTCTCTACTGCTCGGAACATGAGATTCAACAGATGTTTGTCATGTTCTGCCTTGTTGGATCCAAAAACACAGACATCATCAGCAATTCCAACAACTCCTTTAAGTCCTTCTAGGATTTCATCCATGCGTTGTTGGAAGATGTCTTGGCTGATAGACAAACCAAAAGGTAAACGTGTCCAGCAGTATCGTCCAAAGGGTGTGCGGAATGTGGTTAGGGGTTGGCTATCTTCATCTAAGGGTACGGACCAGTATCCTGCCTTGGCATCGAGTTTAGAGAACACACTCGCACATGCGAATGCTGGGTTGAGTTCTTCAAGGGTTGGTATCTTATGAGGGCAACGTTTGAGTGCGTTGTTAAGTCGCTGTGGATCAAGGCATGCTCTTATTGTGCCGTCACGTTTCCTGGCATACACCATACTGGAGCACCAATCTGTGAGTTCCGTCATTTTCCGTATGACTCCAATCTTCTCCATCCGATCTAGTTCTTCTTTGATGGGTTCCTTCATGTGGATGCTACATTTTCTTGGTGGATCGATGAATGGCTCAGCATCCTCCTTCAAGAATAATTTAGCTGGATTCTTCAGGTTCCCAATTCTGTCGAACTGATCTGGAAAACGTTCCTTGAGATCCGCCATTGATTCAATTGGTTTCTGTGAGGTAGTCTGTGACGATCCAATTTCATCACAATTGATTGTAACAAGTCGAAGTGTTTCACAGGTGGGCAGACCTACAATGGCAGGTCCGGGGACATCAACCACATAGAATAGGATATCTTCAAACTGCGATTGTTTGAAACTACAGGAAAGTTTCAATGTCCCATGACAAGTGATTGATTGACCATTGTAGGCCAGGAGACGCAATTTTCCAATTGGTTTAAGGATGGATTTCGTGGGCATATCTCCATATATTTGACGAAATGTTCTGATTGGTAAAGTGTTTCCGGAAGCACCCATGTCCACCTTGAGAGTCAAGTTATGAGTTCCTGACAATCTTGGACCTCTAAACTGTAAAGTTGTAAATGCTTCATTGCGCACCGACTCCTGGCCAATAGAGTCAAGGCATTGGTTAGAGACAGTTATGGAATAGTATGACATAGAAAAATTATCACAATAAGAGTCTATATTGTCAACATTTTCATCTGTGCTGCCAGGGCGATGAGACTATCCTTTGAAGTTTCTGTTTCGCTTCTGTGATGGTTTCCTAGAATGTTTGGGGTTGTCGTGACCTCTTGATTTTGGTCGACCCCTGGAGTTTCCATCACGTTTCGATTTTCTGCAAAACTTCTGCCAGTGTCTTTTATTACCACAGTATCCACATGTGTCTTGGTATGCAGGGCATTCCTTAAACTTGTGGTTCAGACCGCAATTTTAGCAAGGTTTGGTGGATCCTTTTGTTACAGAACTAATAGTTTGTGAGGATGTGACTGGTTTGTGAAGATGTTCTATCTGTTGGTGTCCTGCCGCCAGAGCTTCATGTTTCCTACCTTCGACAAGAGCTTCTGTAAGGGTGTACTCTTTATCTTTGCCCAAAAGATCTCTTCTGAAAGATTCGAATGGGGTACTTGCTATCAGCAGTTCGAGAAT